ACTGTGCCCATTTGTTGACTTGGGCTGCGTCCCGGCGTCCACCATCATTGCTGGTGGTGGTCTGGAACTGTCGCCCTCGCTCTCACAGATGACCACAGTTACCCAGCATTTTTTTTCCCTGCCATTTCCGGCTTCAATACTTTACCATTTACCAGCTCACTAGTCGCTGTGCGTTCTTGGGCAAGTTAGTCTCTTCAAGCCTCCATTTCCTAAGTTAAAAAATAGTATGTCTTCTTGGAGCGTTCTTGTGGGATTAGATGTAACTTTATATACGCACGCAAGCACACACATGCACACGTATTGCGCATTGCCTCATTTGTTACAAGTTGCTCGTGGTGGTAGCTTTAGAAGCAGCGCAGCTGGTGATAGCAGTAGTAGCTGTGGGAGGGGTTGCTCTATTTTTTTTTTAGCGCCTGGATTGTATGTGTACATATACTCACATAATTTTTGTAGGCTGCTTATAAGTTTATGTGAGTTCTGTTTGGGGAGCCAATAAAGGAGTGACCTTGAAGTCTTTTCTAATAAGTGGGAGAGTTTAAAGTGTAGACAAAATAAGTACAAAGGAGCTTGACTTTAGCAATTCAACTTAGCAAATATTGTGCCTCTGCTTTGTACCAAGCACTGAGCGGACCTTACAAAGATGCAAAAGTGATGTAAAATAGCATCTTTCTTTAGTGATAGTAGTCTGACATTTGTAAACAAAACCTTACTTTTGCACTTTACGTTTATAGATTCTCATAGCAACACAGGAGTGGAATTTGGTGTGGACTTGTCAGTAATGATTGAACTTCATACCAGTCTTTGTGACTTCAGTGAATGCAGAAAGCATTCATTGGTCCTCAGTTCCTTTTTATTTTGCTGTGCTTTAATAAATCAGCTTCTTCTACTTTATTCATTGACACATTTAAGATTCCATTTCTCTCCTTATCGTTCATAGCTGCATCTGAAACAGCTTTTTGGTCACACTTCTAACCCAAATGAAAACCAACACCAGAAACAAATTCAACCTAGCAGACAGTAAAATCACTTCATGTTTTAAAACTATCTGTTCAGTTGCTCTTTTAACAGATATGAGACAATATGGCACCTTCAAAATAAAGCAGATCACAAGATACCAGGGAGCTAGAAACTCTTAACTGGAAGGTTGCTGTCAAGATTTGTCACTTACAGCCAAAGTCAATCTGAATGAGATTCCCTGGAGAGTTACGTCAACAGGCTAGAATAAAAGATTCAATCAGCTCAAGTAATGAAATATGAAATATTAGGAAATAAGAGCTTAGGATGAGAAAAAGTGACGGTTCTCCTCAGAGGACGCCGACTGGACCTGAATAATACGCACCCCTTCTCACCATGTAAAGATGACATCCCTAACTTTGTGGAGTCCAAAAAAACCATCTGCTACTCATCCTGGGACAGACTGGAAATCTAATTTGCTGATCAGGACAGCTTTGATCTGGCTTGGGGGCCTGGTGTCACCTCCTGTTTTCTTCACTCTGATGGACAGAAATGATATTTTCTTGAGCAATCTGAGAAGTTCTGAGGAGAAAAATTCTGTTTCTGATTTGGGTGGTGAATTGAGGGAATTTGGAGCGTGCAGGATGTGCCACCGGGCTTGAAACCAGAGTCTGAGACATTCTTTACAAATGGAACCTAAACTTAAAGTGCTTTATTGTTCCCTTTTCACTTACAGAATCCCTGGACTCCCTGCCCCATGATGTGGACCAAGTGCAACTTTTCTTTTAAATTACAGTGTCAGATCTTGTATGCATGAGTTATGATTAATTGGGTTACCCCATGTGGTTCCAGTTTTCGGAACATCATTTTTCTTGAAGATTGCATGCTCCTTGGTGGTCTTCGCCTTTTCTTTCTAAAGATAGACATAAAAATGCTCTGATACTGTGGCTTCTCTTAATGATGAAAACCCTGCCCTAGATCTTTCTGGTAATTTACACCTAAATATCTTTACCACTGACAGTAACTTCCTCTTGAAATGACCCAGCTGGAATTTCCACTTAAGACAGGATAAGAAGGGAGGAAGGATGTTTTTGTTTCTTTTCTCTCCGCTCCTTTCAACCTTCCCCCTCTCCATCACCTTCCTGTTCCGCTCCCGTTCCACCCCTGCTCACTACTCAAGTTTCCTGCAGTTAAAGTGGTTGGAAAAAAAATAAAAGCACAATGCTGATTTGGAATTCTGCGGGCTTGCCTATATCAATAGCATTTACCACAAAACTGATGTTTAGACATAAAAGCACCGAGTAGATTTTTGGTTAAGTCTATTATTATTTGTATAATAGAATACATAGGTGTGTATACCTGGTCTCTATATATTAATGGGGCAAATTCCAACTGCAAACCTGACATCCTAAAAATTTTATTGTTCATATTTGAGGTTGGCAGGAGATGGTTATTTATTAGACTCAGAAATGCTATACACACTTGGAGTGTTTATTCTGGATTTGTTTCTGTGCATTGAAAGTGTCTGGTGCAGCTGAAGAATACGCAAAGTGAGCCAAGTGGGAAAACATCATGAAAAATCTTGAGTCCAGGCACAAGTCATTGAAAAAATAAAACTTGGCAAAGGAATATGACCATGAGGGTGAGGTAAAATGGGAAGAATGCAGCAAGGCCATCTCTCAACAACAGTGTATCTGAAAACATGGAAACAGGCTGCTTCTGGGCTGTTTAGGCATTGTTTAGGGATCAGGCCTTTGGAAAATAAGGCTGCAAATTTAACCATGATTTCATATGAAACAGAAATACCTTTTTAATGATTAGCCATCCCACTTCTGGGTTATATACAAAGGAATTGAAAATAGAATCTGAAAGAGATATTTGCACACCCATTTTCATTGCAGCATTATTCACGATAGCCATGAGGTAGAAACAACCCAAATGCCTATTGACAGATGACTTATGAAGAAAGTGTGGTATATACATGCAATGGAATACTATGCAGCCCAAAAAGAAGGAAATCCTGTAACATGGGTGAACCTTAAGGGCCTAACTTTAAGTGAAAAAAGCCAGTCACAAAAAAAGACAAATGCTATATAATTGCACTTCTGAAGGTATCTAGAGTAGTCAAACTTGTAGAAGGAGAAAGTTGTTGCCAGGGTTTGGGGGGAGGGGAGAATGGGGAGTTACTCAATGGGTAGTTTCAGTCATGCAAGATGTAAAGTTCTAGTCTTTTGCACGGCAATGTGCATATAGTTAACGATACTGTGTTGTACACTTAAAAGTTGTTACAAAGGTAAATTTGTGCGATATGATTTTTACCACCATTTAAAAAATAAATACCTTTTCAAAGTCAACAATTAAAAATACGGAAAGCTTTTGAATGTATGAGTGGGTAGGACTCTGTTTACCTAGATAAGTTATAAGCATTCCAGTGTTGAGGTTCAGAAGACGTAAAGTCTGTGAATCAAGAAGCCACCGTCCTTGCCTGCCAGACATGCTGTCAGGGCTCCTGCACGCCATTCAGTTATTTAGGACAAGAGTTTTAAGGCTTTTCTCCCTTCTGCCATCACCACATCTATGTGGTTCTGTACATTTTTGTCTGTACTCCCACTTTAGGCATTGGTCCCTATCTGGTATGAATAATCTGGTAACAGTAGAGGTATCGAAGAAACAAAGGAAAGACAAGGAGAACCGATAGCCTTTTATGAAGCTCAGTCCTCCAGGATGTCAATCTAGATGCATAACAAATGATTAGAGTCCACTCAGGCATCCTCTCGTGACACTGAGGAAATTTTTAGGGGAGGATTTGTTTTTAAGGAGTTACGCAGCTCCTTGTTCCTGCAAGGGTCAAATATCTTTCCGAATCACCTAATCTTCCCACTCTTCTTAAAGGGTGCACCTTAATAAAACAGGACTTTGTTTTTAGCCACCACTCTCCTCCTGTGCCTTTCTAATGACCATTCACTTCAGTGTTCTTACCTGTAAAATGTGGGGGATAGGTTTGTCTTGATGCTGAAGGAGGTATTACTGATGTCTCCAAAACTGCGGTGAGACCACCAGCTCATCTCGCAAGCCTTGTGCGTTCCCAGTAGGAGTGATAGCGGCCCCAAGGCGGAAGTGTGGATGCGTGTCAGGAAGAAGGGATTTAACATTTTTTAGATATTACAGTGTTTTGCAAAATCTTATCCCAGAGTGATTGATTTCCCTTGTTAAGGAAAATCTGCATATATATTTTTTTCCTGAGTGAAACAGTCATGAAACGAAGGTTGAGAAACCCACCTTTATCGATGGGAACGTTGCTGAGCCACAACTGGGTTCACACAAACAGGAAAAAAAAAATGACCTAGTTCTTACATTTTGATTAAAGAAAATGGTGGAGTAGCTCATTTCCTTTTATAATATGCAAGTGTGCCGCACTTAGCGCTGTGATTTCATATCAGGCGAACTGGGTTGAACCTGGTGTTTTAGCATTTGTGTTAGGTCTTTGAGAAATCCTTGGTTCTTTCATGTAACATTTCTATGAATTCTAAGAAGTCCGTAAACAAATGTTCCTGCTATGGCAGAGCACACCTTTTTTGCTTAAAACCTGTGGCTTCCCCAACGTGACAGTTCTGGGAGGGCAGGGACCAGCCTGCGTGTTTTATTCCTTATGCTGCCAACATCTAACTCCATGTCTGATTGCAGGTTCAGCCTGTCTGAATTCTTGAAAATGTTGGGGTAGTGAAAGAACTTTAGCTTTAACTAGAGCTGGAACTAGGGTGAGGCAACTGAGTTGTCTAGAGTATAAAATTTAAGGAGCAACTTGCCTAACCCTTATGTTTCAGGCCAAAGCCCCCTGTCGTCCAATTCCCAAACCCTTCCCTTTTCAAAGTTGATTTACACAGGCAATTCTCTGGCGGTGGTATGGTCAGAGGAGCACCGGAACAAGGAGTTTAAAACAACTATTTCAACAGCCCTCCATTCCGCTTTTATGAGTACGTTTCTTTTGACTTGCATGTGATTCACGTTGACCCACGGGCCCTAATATTTTCCCCTCTGTCTTCTAGATCACTACAGACCTGAGGCAGCGGTGCACAGACAACCACACTGGGACCTCCGCCTCGGCCCCCATGGCTGCGGGCATCATTGCACTGGCCCTGGAAGCCAAGTAAGCCTTTCTCTCCATCTGTCTCCACTGGCGACAACCCCTCCTCTCACGGACAATTTGCCCCTTCCCTAGTATATTACCCCTAGCACAACAACCCAGAATGTAACCTTCCCAATCCCAGCTTGAAAACTTCAAAGATTAAGACTTTAAAACAATATTTTTACTATATTAAGGAAAAAAGCAACTTTTTTCTTTTTTTGGTTTTTATACTCCCTAAAAAATCAAACCATGTCATTGCTTTATCATGGAGTCATGTGCAAGCCTGCCAGTTGGCTCCAATACTCTTGCCTTGTTGAGATTTTCATTCTAGTCTGGGAATGTTCCTGTGAGTCTCAGAGTGGTCAGGTCTGCCCACTTCTGGGCCTTTTCCTGCAAAACAGTGAGGCAGCTCAGATTCTATGACAATAGTACTGTCACAGACTAATCCTAGGGGACAGAGTCTTTCAAGATTCTATGGCAGGAGCCCAGAAACAAGGACAAACCACTTAAACCTTAAATCCTGTTTAATGCAGTCAAATTCTGTGTCTGAAGATCCCTTTGAAAGGTCCCCTTAAGTTATTTGCAATGCATCCCATCTCATCTTTCCCTAAGCACCAATAGATCAATTTGTCTGAACTCTTTGAAAACCTAACACAAATCTACACTCTTGTACTCTCGATTTCAAAATCCAAAAGCCCAGAAAATGGAAAATTCTTTTGCAAAATTACCACCAAAACTCACTAATGGCAAAGCTTGCCCTGATTTGATTTGAGACTATTGACAGTCGTTATTTATTGTGAAAATGCTTACTGCAGAAATATTAACGTATTCGGTTATGAGGTGCTGGCTCAGACCCCATTGGAAGTTTGTGTAGTATATGCTGTAGACAAGATATCTGAAAAAAGAGTTTGAATTTTAAATACATCTGGTGCAAGCACATTAGTAAAAGGATTGTGGGCCTGCACTCTGAGGCACACAAAAACAGTCATAACACAAAGGAATTGAAGTAAGCATGTGAGTGTTTTTCCAAAAATAGTCTTGCACCCATGCCCTAAAGAGGAATGGAAAGATGTAGAATAGTAGGTAACAGGAAAAGAAAATAAGAATCATAACTATACTCAGGTATTACAGCAAAAAGTTACTTATTTCCTCAGTATACAGGTGGCCTCGCAACATGACAGCTGCCTTTCTGGATGGCAGGGAGCTTAAGTTAAGGCATGTGGACCTTAATGTAATATGGATACAGTAAATTGCTAAGTCATGTAACTGCTTGGACTGAGACCGGTAGACCAACACAGACTTTGGATATGGGCTATCTTATCTTAGTCCATTTGGGCTGCTATACCAAAATATCATAAACTAAGTAGCTTAGAAACAACAAACATTTATTTCGCATAGTTGTAGAGGCTGGGAAGTTCAAGATTAAGAAGCCAGGATATGTCTGGTGAGAGCCCACTTTCTAGACAGCCTCACATGACAGAAGGCAGGGGCACTGGGCGTTAGATTTCAACGTAGGAATTAGGGGGGAGACACAAATATTTAGACCATAGCAGGTGTCATATCGTTTCACTCCCATGAATGTTTGGATTTCTTTCTTTTTGACAAGATTAAATATTAAAACATTTCAACATATCTTTTCAAGTGTTAAAAAAGTTTGGGTTTAGCAAGGAGCTGGCTCTTATCCTATTAAATTCTCACTTTACAACTTTTCATTGGACTGTTCTGACAGAAGTCTTAAGTGTCTGTGTTTTTAATTTGGTTATTGTAAATTGGATTTTTTAAAAAATACATCGTCTTCATTCTGGGATGCTAGATTGTTTTTCCAGAATATTTTCCTGTCCACAAAATACTGAGAAAAAAAAATCAGGAATTCTTCCTGCGCTTCCCCATTCCCCCTGCCACAAAAGGATACAATCTCAAACTTAGCAACCTAGTACCATCACTGTGGCTAAATGATACCCAGTTCTTTGAGATATTACTATAGCACTAATACTTTTAGTAATTATTTTAAGCACTATTTAAATTCAAATGAAAAATCCTTATTCTGTTCCTTAAATGGCCCACTCACTTGGATAAGATCATGTTGGGCCTCGGAACTCAGACAGGCTGCATCTGTTTTCTTTGCCCTTGCATTTTGAGCATTTTTTTTTTTTAAGATTGATTTTTGCCAAACCTGTGATGGGGAAAGAAGGTCCCACGATACAGTTTACCTGGAAAATTCCCTGTATTTTAAGATTTTAAATAGTCTAGTTTGACCTTGGGGCCAACGTACACGGTAAATCTTCTGATAAAATGAAAAACAATAAACCTTTTCTCATTACTCCATTGGTTTGTGCTACAGGCGAATCTTTGCCTGTAGTGAAACCTGTAAAGTAGAGGAAAGAGGTTGGAAAACTAAGAATGGGTCAGGCATTGCTGTTATATTAGGATCAGTAAGCCATGGGTCTCCAGCATGAGTAAAAAGAATATGGAACTAAGAAATTGTAGCGAGGCTGTCAAATAACAGTGTACCAAGGTTACAGTTGTTCCACGGCTAAGTCTGACCGTGGCAGAGGCCTTACCCATTCACCCAGCCCCCACCCCTGACAACCTCCTTTTACACTAGTACTTCTCAGCGGCACTTAAATTGTGGCGTTTTGAGCTTCAGCCTTTACTCTCACAAGACGAACAGCCTGATTTACCAGGCACTCCCTTTTAAAGGAGAGGAGAAAAAGCCAGAGCTGAGCAGCATTATGGCTGAGGACACTGCCAGCACTTCAGATAGGCTCCCCTGCTCAGGTCACATGGCTCAGTGAGTGAGAGTGAGTGTTCAGGTGAAAAGCTGCATGCAGGTGCTGCCTGTCCCTAGTTAACTGTGTGTCCCATCTATCTTTGCACAAGGAGAAATGCATCCTTTCCCCTAATACCATTAGATTATAGTATTTAATCCAGGAAAAGCCCACAGCCTCAGCTTCCTTGGGCCTTTGCCTCCCCAGGTGCTTGCCTACACCAGCCGATCTGTTTGGGTCATAAGACTGTGAGTCCTACCCACAATGCATTGCAACCATTGACCCCTCTGCCATTCTAATTCTTCTTGCTCTAACATAGGAGCTTTTCCAAGAAACCTTCTTAGGAAACTAAGAGAAAAAGAAAGCAAACATAGAAACAGATAAGCTTAAAGTATTCAGATCTCTCATCTGGGCTCAACAAAAGCTTGGTCATGAATTATCTCTGCTGTGACAGCTACGGGGACTCCCAGGCCATCCCTCTCCTACAGGGTATGTGAGGACATGTGTTGCAACAAACTCCACTATAACACACCCTCAGATGCTTGGGTAAAAGTGCGCTACTCCCAAGACTGGAAGGATTCTTAGTTGCTCTAAAAATCTGCCTCCTTTCCTTATTTTCCTCCCCTCTGGGTTGGAGCCATTTTAAGCTCTACAACCGTCTCTGACAGTCTAATCATGAACTTTTTGCCTGGTCAATCAATTAGGTAATTTCTTCCTGTTCCCAAAGGTGTTTCCTGGGTACAGAAAGCTCTAAATCCTTTACCCTTCTAAAAATCATGAGCAATTTTAGAATGAGAGAAAACACTGTCATCTCAGAGGGAGAGCAAACTGTTTTTGTGTTGGGGTACTCTCATCACATATGTACTGGTTCAGAAGTTTATAATATTTCAATTATTTGGATTTTGTGGCCTTTGGGGTAATTTTCTGGTTTTTCAGCTGAATCAATAAGGAATATGTAATCAGTGATTACCAAGGAACTAATCACCATTTGGTAATGATGTCTTTTTTTTATAATATAACTCAAAAAGTTCAAATAAAATGAGTGTCTGCGTGCAGTTTTCTTAAATGAAAGAAATGATGAAACATGACTAATAATTTTAGATGAGCTACGTAAAAGTGTCAAGTCACATTTGTAAGGCGCCTTATGTTTTGTTGCTAGTATATATCACTGGTACTTTGGACCCATGGAAAGGAAAAAAAAGTTGCTAACAAATGTTGTTTCTTATAAAATGGTTTGTAAAACAAAGTTGAAATTACTGACATTTATAGATGTTCAGAATCATAAACTATGTTTTACTGAAAGTTTTCCTTATCTGAGTTTGCAACTATTAGCAGAGAAAGGCTATTTTAGTGGAGTATTTTATGTTAAATTATCAGGATTAGCTCAGGAAATTCAAAATTTAAGTTAACCAAAGAAACCTTTTGGACTTGAATTGCAAATAATCTCTCATTGGAAAATAGCTCAGCAATCACAAAATGTTGCATAGTGAATGATAAATAAAAGGAAGTGAGTTAGGTAGAAATTTCTGAAATTATTTAGGACTTAGAAAGAAGATACTGACATGAAGAATCTTCCACAAATCCTTGTTTTTAAGTGACTTGAAAGTCCTTTCCTCAGATATCCTATGTCAGTGAACAGGGATACCTTCCTTTGAGAACGCCTAATATATCTTCATCTAAAGTCAGAAAAGAAACAAATTGGGGTGGCAACTGTTATTCTGTACTAGAAACATACTTCATACCTATTAAACAGTAGCTGCCTCTGTTGTGTTATACAGTATATACATACATGCACACACATTTGTAGGTAGGCTTATCTACTTTCTCATTACCTACCTGTTTTCTTCTATTTCAATTGTCCTGTTACCACTGGTGTATAAGATATAACATATCAATATATGTACAACATAGATTATAAAATGCATAGAGTGAACATAGTTTTGATAATTTAGACATTTCTATTATTGTACTACAGATGTTTTATATGGACTATCTTACAATCAAGGCTTGAATTTGTAGAGACTAGGATTTTGCCTTACAGTCTTTATTTGTGTGTATATAAAAATATCTATTGCATTTAAAAAAATGTTTAAAGCATCATGCTAGGAGCTAAGTAAATTAGGTAGGGTATAATTCAAATATTTGCAAAATATGCCACTTCCCTTCAAAGAATCTCCTTTGGGAGACAAAAGTACACTAACAAGTAAATGCCAGTGTGCATTTCACATATGCACAAATTATTTAAGAAAGCCA